TATTACTGTTATTCCCTAATGCAATAACATGATAGGATAATAAAATTCAGGCAAAACTCCTGAAATGCCTCATTACCTCTCTCAGGTGTGATGAAGCAGCTAGTTGGAAAGTGCTGATCTGATGCATGCAAATATTTGAAGCAAGTCTGTATGCACAGAGTGTGTGAATGTAAGGTGTAAAGACTCCACAAGAAGGACTCAGCCCATTGGGAAGTGGTCCTGGCTGTTTAATAAAGTTTGTTTCAGGACTTAAGGAGGGAGCTTGGTCTTGCTACGTTCTGCTAGTGCAAACTTGGTAAGCTAATGGAGGGTTAGTGACCTCCAAACTGAAGAAAAGTCATAGGAAGGCAGTGCTTCCTTCTTCAACTGTTCACTCAACCTGAAAATATAAAACTAATCTCTCCTATGTGCTGTAGACAGTAGGAGTTTACAAGTTCTTGTCTATTGATGCAGCTGCTGGGATTGTTGTGGTTGCTGCTGGAGGTCTTTGGCAGATAAGACATTGTAGTGGTGTTAGGCCTGAAAATTAACCATTTCCTTCAGAAAACTGGTAAAAATTGCCAAATGAGCATTTTAAATCCCAAATTCCAGTCATCTTCAACAAATCACAGAATCACAGAATCGCTCGGTTGGAAAAGACCTCTGAGATCATCGTGTCCAACCATTCCTGTCTACCCACTAAACCATATCCTTAAGTACCTCATCTACCCGCTCTTTAAATACATCCAGGGATGGTGACTCCACCACCTCCCTGGGCAGCCTGTTCCAGCTTCTGACGACCCTCTCAGTAAAGAACTTCCTCCTTATCTCTAACCTGAACCTCCCTTGGCACAGCTTGGTGCTGTTGCGCAAACCTTTCTATTTCAGTTTAAAATTTTGCTTTAGCAATCAGTAGTGTTCATAACATTAAGCATGGCTCTGTTCCCTTTAGTAAAAAGAACAAAATAGATGCTTATTCTCTACAGTATGATAAATGGCCATGCCCTGAAATCTGCTGGAGCTTGGTGTTCCTAAACCCTATTATATGAAAAGCAGATGAGTTCTGTAGTGAATGGCAATAAAAAGCTCTCACTGAAGTTGTGAGAAGATCAGCGACATCAAACTGGCCTTCACATGCCCCCACCAAATTTACAGGCCCGCCCTGAAGCAATTACCTGTACCCTAGCTTGGTGCTCTTCTAACACATCCCCGGTGCATTATCCTACTCTGCACTTTCTAATCTGACCCTCTTGAAGCATCTTGGGTGAGGGTGTTCATGCTTGAAGGTTGCAAGCTCTGACCATACCAATGGTTAAAAGTTAAGCAAAGTCTTTTCAAGTGTGAAAATGGTTGGCGTTGCCTCCTCCTGGCATGCTGTTCCCAGTGCAGCCTGGCCAAGTCACTGCGGCCATCCTCCTCCTTCCCACCTGTTTGGATGTTGATGAAACTGTTTGGCTGTCCCGCCTTTCTATTTCTGCCTTGTAAAGGTTATCACGACTTCTCACGGTGCACCCCCCGCCTCCCCTGTGTCCACAGCCGGTTGCCAGTCGGGGTGGCTGGGCTGGATACCTGCAGGCTTTATTTTGTAAACAGAAAAGAAGAAAAGAGCACTCTTCAGGAGGTGCAAACCTGGGCTACAAATGAGAAAGTACTAATTTTTGTCTTCTGATCTTACTTCCTTTGGACAGTTGACTCTCCTGATCCATCTCCCAGTCCTGGGAGAGGGCTCCTCTGCTTCTCAGCCCAGAGGTCTTTTCTGCTCCATGGGGCTGTCATGTGGCTGGCCATAACTGATCTGCAAGCATCTTGTAACCTGCACAGTGCCGGCAGCTGTGCCCTGTGGCTGTCAGAGAGATGGGGACCTGCTCTTGGGCCGTCTGACTTCCCTCACAGATGCGGGTCTGTCCAAGGATGTACACAGCGGTGGCTTTTTGAACCCAAATGTGTGATGGGAATAAGTTAATTGGTTCAGCAAAGATGCCTGATGAAGGACAGGCAGACTCTACTGAGGCTTCCTTTAGCCATTTTTTTCTGGCAGAAAACTAAGAAATTTCCTTACAAACTGTTTCAGCTTTTGGCAAACATGGCAGCTGCTACTCTAATGTGTGCTGGCCAGATGCATGTCACTACCTGTCATTCACCTTTTTCTCTCCTCCAAAATAATCCTACTCCAGGAACCATATTAGATACTCGGCGTTATTTGAAGATCCCTGATAATGACTCTGTATGGGAGGCCGGCAGTACCTGGGGAACCCAGTGCAGTCTTAATAATTTTTGTGTTCCTGCTGCAGTTTTGGGGTAGTTTTAGCTTCAGAACCCTGCTGTGGCTGACTCCTGCACCTGGTGACTTATGTTTGGGAAGATCCCTTAAAGCTTGTTATTCTGACAGAAATTATTTCATAGCTTGAGGTACTGAGGTGATTTCACTTTAGTAAAATGTTTTTATTTGCATGCTAAACAATCTGTAGGCATGTAGCTCCAATGCAAACCTTCAAAGGACAGGAAAATGTAAACACAGACCTGTTCCAGATTGATTTGTATTGTATTATCTCTTCAATCTCTGAAATCCTGATACATCTACATCATGGTATTCAACATGGGCAATCTAAAGTGAAATAGATTTTTCTTACTTAAAGGAACTGTAGATATGAAGACTTGTGTTTGAATTGGTATTCAAGCTCCCGTAAACACACTCGTGCAGAAGAAATCTTCTTTCACTGGATATTTAAGTGTGCATTTAATATGTTGAATAGCCTATTTTCATTTATTTTTTAAAATCAAGTATGCATAATTTCTCTCTCTCTCTCTCTCTCGTCTCAAACAGAGATTCATCCTGCAGTGAAACCCAATGTAATCAGGTCAACACCAAGCCTTCAAAGTCCAAGTGCAAAACGACTGCTTGCACCCTCTAGTCACTCTTCATTAAGTATTTTGGGAAAAAGAAACTACAGCCATCATAATGGTCTTGATGGTATGTGAAGGAATATAAGATAAATATTCTTTAAATCTCTGAATTGCAAAGTTTTCTGTGGACCTGAGGTGACATTAAGGGAGTACAGAGTGACAGAAACGTAAAATATGGATAGCATATTTATAGCATTGATTCTTAATGCAATGCATGGTGGTGCTTACTCATTGAACACAGATAAATTAATGCAATCTCTTACAAAAATGATATTTACCATTTTTCTTACTAATCTTGATATAAAAGAACACAAAAAGAATTAAACAAAATGGTGAAGGCAGAGATGCAGTGAATGCTTTATTTCAGCTTATTGCATTGCATTTTTACTTGAAGAAATATTTTGCAGAGGTATGCAAGACCTTTTTAATTACTCTGTGCAAAAATATTTGGTATGTGCTGGGCCTGCTAGCTTACAGCCAATCTGCTTGCCAGTGTGTGAATTCTAAGCATGGCTTAGTCTGGATTCTCCACAGTGTGCTTGGAACTAGAGGGAAAATGGCTTTTGGCATCTTGTATCCAAAGACCGGTGTTAGAGAGACACTTAAAACAAGAAAGGACAAAAAGGACAGGTGGGAGGTGGTAGCTCTTTTTTTTTAAAATGATTACCAAAAAGAAAGATTTTCAACTGGAACTGTGAACACCTCTAACTCGTATCCAAATAAGAGGAGAATCCAGCAGGGTATAATTTGTTTGCACTGGAAAGAAATGCATACATTTCCTGAACTTACTTTCTATGAGATGTAACTTCTGCAAGCCCTTGTTTGTTCTGTAATTGAATATGCTTATTGAGATTAGAAATGTGAACTAAGTTAGGCTCTGACATGGGCTGTTCAGGACGCGATCTGCACGAAAGAGGTTACTGCCTGCTTTCATACTTCAGAATAGGCCAAGTTAGAAATGAGAGGAAGTCTTTCTGGACAAGCTAATAGAAATAGTATTCCAAATAGAGGTAAGAAAACTTCATCAGTTATCCAACATCTTCCCATAATGATTGTGCTTTTCTTTCATTGCCAATGCTATTTGTATTTCACAGTGAAAATTTGCACTGCGTGCTTAATAATACCTAGATAAAAATCACTACATACTTTGGCAAAAAGTTGTTATTTTAGTATATACAGAAGAGAGAATCACTTTGCTTAGTGTGTGAACAGCCATTACACAGTAGGCAAATAACATGCATGGCAACACAAGCTGTTCCGTGGACCAAGATGACAACTGTGTGACTTTTACTTGGGTAAAAAGATGATGCCATTTTTATGCATAGCCATAAATGCTGAATTTTCACTGCAAACTTTGAGCATAAAATTCTGCAGTGATGGTCTGGTAGTTACTGTGTGAGATTGTGAATGGCCGCTGCTTTCCCCATCTCCTGATGCTGGCCATTACACAGGACTCTCCATATGAGTGTTCAGTGATTATTGTCTTTCACCTGGAAATAAAGATGATATTACATTTCAACTGCACAGAATTGCTACTACTATAGCAGTAAACTCAAAGTAAATTCAAACTTTATTTTGATCATGTCCCTATAAGGAGGTGTGCTTGGTAATTTTTGAAATTTTTTTTTCTTCTACATAGTATGGATGTTCTCTTCAAAGTAAAAAGTTTATGAAACCAGCCATTAGCTACACTGATTAGTTTGCATCAGTCAGCTATGTTAAAGCAATTTGCACAAAATATCTAATTTGAAGAACTAGTATTGAGAACTCTTAAGTCATTGCTTTAGGAGATAATTATTTCTGCTTATGTGTTTTCTGTGAAGACATAACTCACTGGAAAGCATATATGCTAAATAACTGAAATCTGTATTTTTGTAGCATAAAAATGGCTATATTGGTATTTAAAAATGGCTATTTTGGTTCTTATCCTAGTGCCTCTCCTTAATTAAAGCCTGCAAAGTGTAGTCCATGTAAACTGCAAAACAATTTTTGAAGAATTAGATATGATACAAGTATTATCACAGACATAGAAAAGAATAGTTTCCAAGGAAGATAAGTTATTTTAAAGACAAAAGTCTGGAGCTAATTCCCTAAGCAATGTTGTGTTAAACATGGTAAACTAAGTAATAATGAAAACCCTTTTAGTGTGCGCGTGTTTCTGGATTTTCAGCTACTTTGTGGTGTGAGCAGAGCGCTCAGAGCTGTGAGGAAATGGCTTAGTTGCTATCATTGTGTACTCCTGAATGCTGGTTTTCATAACATCTGACAGCACTGCCAACAGTTTTCTCAGTTCTTCAACCTCATAATGGAGGAACTGCAGCAGGCAAAGGGCAAGTCCTTGTGGGAGCCTGGGAGATAAGGCCTCACTGATTGGTGTTTCCTCAATGCTTAGATACATCAGCATGGGTTTGATCTTCTAAAATAGTAATTTTTGTTAGACTTCTCTGTTGGACTAAGTCAAACAGAAGTTTAAGAAATACCAAACTGTTAGTTATTGGTCAATGCTTATGCTTTTGATAAAGTATCTTTGAGTTTTGATAACGGATTTATTTGCCTTAGAACAGTTGCACTATTATCTTCTGCCACATATAATTTTTGTTTGGATCATCTCAGTTTCAATTTTTCATTACTGATTGTGGTCACCTTGGCTTTTTTTTATTGCTTAAACCCTTCTTCACCATGAAATAAAATGCAAAGGAAAATGAAACTCTCAAAAGCAATCAATCAGCAGTAATAACACTAAACAGCACAGGTCCTCTGTTCCTTTTGACTAAAAAATGATTACCTTTAATATTTACCATTTTAACCCTTCTCTGATTATTGGTAAATATAAAATAAATTTTTTGGAGCTGTAATGTATCCAGCTTCTCTTCAGTATGAAGCAAAAATGGAGTGACCAGATCAACTTGGGAAATGGTGTTTTCTATGTAATCGCTCTGACAATGATGTACTATCTGTACAATGAATGTTTTTGCCAACCTGCAGAGTTTTTGTGTTACTATAAATATACTGAAAAGCTTTCTTCGTTCCAAAATACTACTGATTGTTGGGGGTTTATTGCATTGTATCAGTTAGCAATATCTAGAAAGCCTACTATGGAGGAGATGGTATATTCTGGCTTTTGATGCATGCTTTGATGAAACAAGCAGACAAAACTAAGCACAGTGGGCTTACACTAAGTCTTATCTTTTGCTGTTTTCATAATGTTATTGACATGAAAACATCTGCATGTTCGGGTTTGCTTTTTTCCAACAGTATTAGAAGTTAGTCGTAAAGAAACCATATAAATATATTAACTTAATATATACAGTAATTTACAGCATTCAGGTAAATGCCACTTAGGCCTGTGTAAATATATATTTAGATTGGCATGTTTAAAGTCAGTCTTACTGCTAGTGCCGTATTTTGACAGAAATTTTTATTAACAGGAATAAAAGCAATGTAATATGGAAATGGCACTTCTTTATGCCTGTATGTGGGAGTTGGGGGAAATGATGAGAAACATCTTTAGTATTTAGTTTAATGCTTTTAAGAGTAATAGATAAGAACGTGGTTAGCATTTCTTAGGGAGCTCCTGTGTTGGCTTGAGTCTTGATTTTGGCCAATGCAGCAAAAGTTTCCCTTTCATTTTTCCACAAATACATCTCCAGCAAGAGTCTGGTGCAACTGATGGGGTGAGGGAGTCTATAATTTCTGACTGCTATTGCTCAGTCTTTATCAGGAATGATGAGGGAGCTGATTTATCTCTTCATAAACGATGGGGTTTGTCTTGCTATTAAGTGATCTGAGTGTCAGTCCCTGGTGGCTGAGAAATGTAGTTGCATGCATGTGTAAGACATAGAACTAAATAAAATTGCATGGCTTAAGCATCGTAACTGGATAGAGAGAAGACCTTGTAGTTGGTTTGTGTCCTTTCTTGGAGGAGAAATAATTTTTCTGGATGGTCTTAGGTTTTTTCTTTTATTTTCAAACAACATAAAATCTTGCATTCTGTAGGATGGAATGAGAAATGCCAGAAAATATTTTTCGTTCTGGAAAAATTCACAATACTTTGAGGAGTTTTCATGTGATATACATTTTGTTGCTTTTAACTATTTTTGAGATGCATAATTTCCATTGCTGCTGAAAAGAAAGTCAACATGAGCTATTTAAATGGTTCTCGGCAGTGAAAACAGTGTCTTTCAAATGGAAAAACCTATCTTCAGAAAATCACAACGTTGCAGAATGTTACGTGTATCCAGTTTTATGAGTGGAGTTGATGATTGGAAGATCTAGGTGTGACTGTAAAGTGCTTTGTAGATATTTTGAATCTGATCTTTAAATTATAGCGTCTGAAATTATTCCAAGCAATTACTTTCACCCACAAGCTGCTTAACTATGAACAACAGTACAACATCCAAGTAGTCAAGTTTCACGTCAGGCTATTATTTTGGCAGCATGAGTAATAATAATTTTCCATATAATATTTGGAAAGATCAGGTAAAGGTATCTTACATGAGTATAATTTCTGTCAGCTGGCAGGCATTTCCTTACTTTTACATGCATCAGAAACAAAATATCCACAGGATGCCCAAGATATTAATGTTACTAATGAGGTATAGAGATCAATCTGTGCCTGTTGATACCGTTTTCATGACTTGTGGGCAGAAATAAAAGAACTGGTTGTTCACAGCTGAAGAGACTTTAATCAACAGCCCCAATCCTCCTTCTCTCTTCCCCTTCCCAGATATTTAATGCTTTATTTCAGACTGAGATGTCCTGATGCTTTCAAGAGGATTCTTTCAATAGTCAGATTTCTGTTCCTGTATGTACTGAGGTACACAGCTATATCTAAGAATGAGACAGCAATTTTTGGGTCCATTTTTCTAGGAACCAACACATTGCTGGCACAACAAGATGAGAAACTGCCATGAACAATCAGCAAAAGGAGAAGGACCTCAAAAAAAGTGTACCTTCTCTCTTAGATGCTATTTTGGTCAGTCCTCTCTGCTTATGACTGATAGTATTGGCTATTGAGGAGATAACCAAGGAAGAAAGGCTTATATGTCACTCCTATTTTTCTGTGGG